GGAGAAAGGCGGAGGAAGTTAAGGAGAGTTGGATAAAGAGGGTGTAGGCGGGGGCAGGGGCATCGTCCAGGAAAGGACATCTGTGGCGCGTCGCGTCGCGTCGCCTTTATAAGGCCGCGCGCCGTGTCCTTGGGCAGCGCTCGCCATGAGCGCACCCAGGGCAGCGGCGCCGTCGCGGCGGAAGGCGCTAGCGCTGGCGCTGGCGCTATTGCAAACGGCCGCTGCGCAGCAGTGCACCTCCGACAACGTGGTCTCCGTGATGCTCAACTTCAACACCAACAGTACAGGCCACCCGCAACTCAACGTGAGTATGAGATGCAACTACACGTGGTTTTTCACAGGGCTTCGGTGTCGTTTGGTTTGAGGAATAATGCATTTTTGTGGCGTCCGCTTTATATTACTTTAACTGGTAGTTCGTAAATTTATTTCAAATACAATGTTTCAAAATCTTCTTCAAAACCTTAATACTACTTAAAAAGAGTCCACCGATATAAACAGTCGCTTTTACTCCTAAGGTACCGAGTAACAATTCACTGTAATTGAGTAATATCTCGTGCAGTTCAAATGGATCACTTGACATACTTCTGATTAATTTTAAATCCATCTCTAACGTGAATTTAATAGATTTAATTGTATAAATGCCGTGAGTGAGCCTTTTTTAACAACTCCCCCTCTCTCTTTTACACATAGACTTACCTGCAATGTACTACCGCACACATCGAGAACAGTCGGGACCGGCTTATCCGTTTGGGGCGATGCCCCGCAGATGGGAGATACCTGGAAGGAGAACCCCGCGCACGATGACGAGTAGCTCGGCTGCGGATCTCGCCATCCAGACGGAGGAGAAAACTACCGCTTCCCGCGATAAATACGTGCACTACACTTACAGGACCAACGCCCGTAGCAAATGACGTGCTCGGAAAAACGAAATAATCAAAGTCATCTATTGTGAATATGAATGGGAGATGCTTTGTAACTATGAATCGAGATCGGCATGTTTCGGCCGCCAGAGCGTTCCATAGTACAACAACTAATGTCATTGCAGTTCTCTGACCGGGAGGTCTAGGTTCGAGTCCCGACTATGTTGAGATTTTCTATACTAGCTAGGAAGTTCGATCGAGTTCTGAAGCTGCATGGACGAGAATTGTAGCGGCCGGCTGCTCTGATCGGTAGTTTCCCGTGGTTTCTCCGATAATCACCAGGCGAATGCCGCGCGCGATCCCTCCATTCCTTTCCTTGTCCTATCCTCACCTCTTACTTACACACACACGCACAGCCTCTGTACTACCACATATGCCGGGAGACCGGTCGGGTGCTTACAGGTTGTTCCGGCGGGGACGATGTCCCGCTGGTGGGATAAGATAAATTTATTTGAACTGCAAATGGGCGTAACCCAGTAGCAGCTAATTACTTCAATAAGATAATACAGCTAAGATTCAAATTATATAATAATAATAATGGTACAATAATTATCACATAAATAATACAAAAGCTGATAAAACAACGGTAATAATAAATACAGTAATAATAAAAATAATAATGATATAAAAACTGTCTAATTCATAAAACATTTAAATTACCTTAAAAAAAGAAACAACTCCGCACTGAATTTTTGTTCAACAGCACTTCACTTCACTTCACTATGACCCTTTAAACACTTCCTACATTATTTCTCTGCTCTTCACTCTTCGACACCTCACTTCACAGTAGGGTTCAAAGGTTTTTGCGTATGCCTGGTTGGGGAAAATCGCCATCCACCGGTGGGGCGAAGCCGAATCTCACCATGCAGCGGAGGATGATCGCCGTCTGCCCCTGAAGAAAACCATTGCCAGCACTTACAGGGCTACTGCCCTTAGTAGTTGGCGCGCCCGGACTTGCCAATGAGTCAATCAATCCCGCTCCCCGTTGCAGGCGCGCCTGGAGCAGCCCACGGCGCCCCCCGCGTGGCAGGTGAGCCTGCAGGTGGGGACGACGCGGTGCGGCGGCGGGGCGCCCGCCGCCCAGGTGCTCACGCTCGCACTCCACGGTGAGTCATGTGTCTCTGGGATGCACGAAGAGAGCAACTCTCAAGTCAACGTGAAACATTGCATGTAAAAGCTCAGAGTTACGTATTTTTGTTAAAGTTTCATTTCAAAATTGACTAAAAGTAAAAATCGTCAAATGTAAAATCCTGTTAATTCGTATTATAATAAAAAAAGGCTACCGTATCGAAAGAACGTCATATGCGCAGTAGTTATAATTATGCATTAGTTTTGTTTACTTGCTATTCTACTGAAATGTTCATTATTTTGATTGGAGTAAAAATATAGAAAACTGAAAAACTAATTAAACTCACTTACATTACTTTTTCGTTAGGTTTACATATGTTTGCTTTAATATTAATCAACTGTGTCCATTAAAAATGTGTTTGCAATATCGAAAAGTATATGGAATATATAGATGAATACTCCAGGAACTGTAGCTGATGTACTGACTGCCTCTCACTGGGAGATCCAAGGTTCGATTCCCGACAACGGCCGAATGTTTGACAGCATGTAGATAAGTAGATCGAATTGAGCTGCCGTCTGGAGGGTAATTCTAGCGACTGGCTTCGGTAGATTTTCGTGGCTTCTCCGATCAACACCAGGTGAATGCCGGAGCAATCTCCTAACAATCGGACCATGGTTCACGTGCGATCCTTCCTTCATTTTCCTTGTCTTATCCGCACATCTTACTTACATTTACTTACACTTACATACGCCACACTACCCCACGAGCTTAGAGATTGTCCCAGCTGGGGTGGTGCCCCGCTGTTGGGAGGTACCTGGTTAGGGAAAACCAGTAAGCCGACGTGCAGGTCGGTGCCGGATCTCGAAAATCGCCTCCACGTCTCGAGGGAAAACATGCACTACACTTGCGGGGGACTAATGACAATAGCAGTTGAAGCAATTATAAAAACACGAGATACTCAATCCAGCGAACGCCCGAGAGCTACTCTCTGCCCGGCGCGTCGGACTAGCTCGACAAGCAGCGGGCCTCACAGGTAAGCGCTGGGCCTGGTGTGCCGTCGTGGGATGAACAAATCACAGAAAAGATGGCTTTGGAATATACACAGTTTATTTACATTCAGAATGATTAAGTCCTCGTTGCTCAGACATGACCCGGTGATGGAGTCTATCCCATTAACGCTTAACTTAATTTTTTCTTTTATATTTCAATTATATTGATTACATATATTATTGGAGAGAGTGTGACTCCAGAAAATAAAACAAAATTTAGTTTTCGCTTGTAGTTTTTCATTTATATGCCGGTTTATAAATAGACCGCTGGGCGAATTACTATTCTAACAAATATGCAACACGCAATACACCAAACTAAAAACTCAGATTTTTATACTTATTTGCTATATAAAACCATTTATGCGAATAAAGATTGAATTAATCTATTAACAACTGTTATGTAGGGCATATCTTTTACAATATTTAGTAAGGTTCGAAACACCTTCGACAAAGCGTTACAATGTAATTTCTGGCAAAATGTTAGTGGCCTTCGTACTGACAGCGCCTTTGAGATGCTCACTTGCCAAAATAGCGGCATTTCCTATCTTATCGCACATATAGTGGAATGTTTCTGTGCGACGACAAGTTTGGACGACCCACTGTCCGTTGTGTAGCGAACATCTTCAGATATTGCACAATAATATGTCTGTGAAGATCCAACGATTCTTTTCCATGAACTATTCTGTACAAGATCCAAGCATTTATCACTGTCATATTGATCATAAGTATGAAAAGGGGCCAATACCACTTTTCTCTCTAACACAAATATTGTATTTTTCCACAGGCCAGTCGTGGTAATCCACGACTCCCATGTGATCATTGTAATTTTTATTACCTGTGGTTGGCATATATTTATAGTCGTTCCGGAGGCTTTACTCCACCTACTTGTAGGAACAATTGGTCCTAAAACATCAAAATGTGTCCCAACTGAAACAGAATTATTGCCATGACATCTGACAAAAAATACTTCACCAATTTCATCAAACGTATAATCGTACGATCCTCCTGGCAATTTTTGAATGTCTTTTCCTGTCAAAATTGGGCAGCTTTGAAGTCTGTTCTCTCTCATTGTGCCTGTAGCTCTCACTCCAATTTCTTTCAAATGTACTCGGCTGGTACAAACGTCAAAGTACTCGGCATGTTTTGAACGATCAGAAATGCAATCCAACATTTGTAATACCACCCGTGTTCGAAGACCCAATTTTTTTCTCCAGTCGCTTTCAGCTTTGCAAATAGATTCCAGTTATTTTCCACAATATAGATCAAAATTGTAGCAGTAACCATTGGAACCACACAATGCCCACAACTTGTAACCAAATCGAATGGGTTTTCCCTTTATAAATTGTTTGAATCTATTGTGACCATAGTACTTAACAATCATCTCGTCAATTGACAAATTCTCTTCGAAACACCCAAATTGCTGAAATGATGTATTTAGTGTCGTAATTAGAACTCTGACTTTGAAACCTTTGTCTAGCATATTTTCTTGTGCACTGTTATTGTCAAAAAAATGCAGATATCGTTTTATTTTCTGAAAAAGATTCCTTGACATAGCGTTCTTCACAATATCGATTCCTAAATCGTCTTCTTCTGACCAATACATTCTTTCTGAGGGTAAAGTATGATACCCGGAAAGCAGAAAAATTCCTAGAAACACTTTTAGTTCGTCTACATCTAAGGTAAATTCAGGACAGTTTTTTTAAAGTAGTCGCATAATAATCTGATTGTTTCACAATATTTTCATTGATATTTTCATAGTTAGTTATTGGAGTGGAGTGGAGTCAGTCTTTAAGTGTTTTTCAACTCTTCTCGAGTAACATTGGGGCATGAACGTTGTGTGTCACTAATTGTTGAATATGTGGGGTGTGCCTTCTTGTATGACGCTTCGTCATTGCATAATTTCCTGTTTTTGTCATTTGTTTGCATGTTCGACTCTGTGTTAACGCACTGAAAAAATGAAATATGAAAGATGAAATTATGGTAAGTCAAGAAGTTAAGTAAATTTATCTAAGTGACAAGATACGTTCTTACGACTCTTCTTTTCTGCGAGACGAATAATGTATTTCTAGTGTTTCTGGAGTATCATTTGTAACAACGTGATATCGTCCGGCGCTTCATCATTGTCGGTCAGTGCATCTGTGGTGTCTGGAGGTAGAACCACAACATGCGCCGTGTCACGTTCCTCGTCTAGTTCATCAAAACCTTCATCTAGAATGTTTACTATTTAATTTACTGTTAGACCCTTTCTTATTACATTTGACATAATTGCCTGAAATATCACCACATGTATGAAAACTACTTCCATTACGCGTCTAGTTTCTCAAGAAATAAAAATTAAAAGTTTAACTTACCAATTAAATATTCAAAGTTCTTCCAATAATAATTATCAAAGATGTGGATAGAACAAAAGGCGCACGGATAAACTCACAAGAGTAGACTGAAATGATTGGGTGAGACCCGGGCTCTCGCCTACGGGCAAGTCATCGACGGCAGCTTATCGGAAACCCAAGTTACTGTCCTCGACGCGCTGGGCACCCAGCGGTCTATATATACGTAGATCAGCAGATTTGCAACGATGGATCTTCAGATAGGGCTTCCATAAATATTACATTATTGCAAAGAATAATAGCAGAATACTTCGAGAAGACAGCAACTGGTCAATTATATTCAAATAATGGAATAAATTACTGGAATAGAATTCAAATGAAAACTCCGCGTAGTCAACACGATAATGAGTTTAGAATATTACTGGATGAATGTTTAAATGTGAGTGAAAAATAAATATGTATATATTTCTCAGGGTACAAGATACCAAATAAAACTGTGGGCGAATTAAAATTGCTCTGACTACAATAACCTACTCAGAAATGTTTTGGAGTGGCCCATAGTTGGGACAGACTGTATATACGTAAGTGCCGTACCATTTACTACAGAGGCATTTGATCCCCTTCAGCATCTTCTAACTACTACCGCGGCCTTCCACGCACACTGGCGTGCTCGCGACAGTTCAGTTCAGTTTGAGCAACAAATCTGAGCCCACCCGCCTTAATAGCCTCGCTGTGACCGCATCGCACCCCCACCCCCCCCGGGGTGTGACTCACTGATCATGCGACACATCTGGTGCAAAGATGGCACGTACCCACTGGAACTGCACCCCTTGGACTCGGCATCTGCCGCTTCCATTGTCGTGTATTCCACACGTGTCCAAGTGCCTACGATACAAGCTGAGCACCACGCTGCTGGGAGCTGTGTAGCAGACGCTACACTGGGCAGGCCATGCTGATGCACTGCCCTGTCGTACACGATATGGTGCCTCAAACTGTGCATTACTCACCCAGTCGAAACGATTTTCTAACTTCCTTTAGACAGACGATTGGGGAGTTTTAGCGACCCAAGGACTTCCGGTCAGAGGCTCTGCAGTAACATCAATTGGCGCCCGCTTTGAGCGTCCTGCTCGCGCCCAGGTGGCGGCCCGCCGCGGCCGCCGGCGTCGCCGGCGCCGCCGGGCTACCGCACGCTGGCCGGGCTGGGCCACTACCGCGTGGCGGGGGCGGCGCTGGAGTGGGCTGGCGCGCGGCGGCAGTGCGCGCAGGAGGGCGCGGCGCTGGCCGTGCTGACGTCACGGCGCGAGGCCGAGCTGCTGTCGAGGGACTTCGCCTTCAACGCCAGCGGCGCGCAGCACGGCCATCTGGCGTGGCTGGCCGCCTCCGACGCCGCGCAGGAGGGCGCCTGGCTCACCATCGCAGGTCAGCCTCCGCCTCACTCAAAACGGAACTCTTCAACTATACTTCCATTTAATCATAGAGTTCGTTGACTTGCAAGCAACTGGTTCGGTGTCATCCAATCGGGAACTTAAACTTTACCATTGCAGTGAGTGTAATCTCCCGATTGGATGACACGCTAACAGATGATTTACGTTTTTGTTCATAAATTTATTATACTCCAATTTAAAGGCAGTGGCGCTTCAAGGTCACTAGCTGGACTAAGGCGACACAATTGTCCGATTGGGAGCTTTGTTACGACTTACATTTTCGGTATTGGTGACCGAAATTGTAATTCGGTATTGGTACTCGTGTCCTTGAAGTGCCTCCCTGTTTAAATCGGAGTATAATAACAAAGGGACTTTTTTCTTTTTGGCAACGAATCAATTCACGAATCATCTCAATCAAGTTTCTCTGATCTTTTGAGCAAATGCTAGATTGGCCCTTGTTTTGGGGTATAAATGTAGCTTCATTATGTGCACGATGTGTTGAGCTCTTCGTTTGCTAGTTGTGGTAGGTGAGGAGCTGGAGGTGAGGGATGCTATTCTATTAGAAGTACGAAATAAACGATTATGTAGATATTTTACTGGTACACATAAACTCTCTGTATAACTCGGGAAGGTGAAGTATCTAGTTTTGCGAATATTTCTAACTTTGCTTTGTTGGTATTTTTATTCATCATATATCTTTGACAAAAAATCAATCAAGTGATGGGAACGAGTACATTCTGTTTCTTAGTCCAAAGAAAATGGGTGTTTTGTTTGATTTTAAAGTATTTTGGCGTGAAATTCCTAAAAAATTATGCGTGGGGAGGCCCAAGGGTGCTTTATGTTAATCGCGTAGTCATAAGGCCGGGACCTCTCGCTGCCACTCGATACGAAATTTGTCGCGCGTAGCGAAGCGTCTAATTCCCTATAAACTTTGAGGTTAAAGTAGACGTCGTTGCGCTCGCGGGAGAGTGCCAAGATCTCGCGGAAGAGATACGATTCCTTCACATTCGTTACGATAAGGGAGAAAAAGTCTAAGAACATGTTTATAACGATATGTTTCGTCGGTGGATAAATTGCTAGGTGCAAGAAGTCCGAGATGGGCGGGCATTATTTCCGACGAGACAAGCTGTTGAATCCTTGTCAGCAACCGACCTCTTCACAATTTTCTTACAAAATTAAAAGACGCAAACCAAGGACGTCAGTGTTTTTAGTAGTTAGTTGCTTAGAGAAGGGAAGTGGAACGGCATATGCTGTTTACAAGCCCACAAGTGTGATCACTAGAAGCATGATTGTTTTATTTTACTTTTTACTACAGTATTATTTAAAATTCAAGCAGAGTTCTATATTTTATTTTTTCAGTTTTATGACATTACTGTGCAATAGGGTAGTTCACTTACTGTAAACTTTTGCATCTCATTGAAATTTTGGAATACAGATACAAGTGAATAGCTCCACCACCTAATTTGAAATACTGAGACCTTTCTTTAGAAATAGACAATTTAGTATAATGGAGCAAAAGTTTTTCGATTTTTCACATTTCTCATTTCAGTAGATTATTAAAATTTCATAAGTTCATTGACGCAGTTAGGCCGGATGTGAGTCACAAAAAAGAATAAAAGAATAAAAGAAATGAATCGAAATTTATTCGTTCACAGGTCTTCCGTTGGAGGAGACAGGATACGTGAAGTGGCATCCTAGCGAGCCCAACGGTGGAAACAAAGAGAACTGCTTGGCGCTCACTAAGGCTGACGGCTTCTTCATCGATGCAAATTGTGCCTGGAAGCTTTCGTACATATGCAAAATGCCAATGTGAAATCCTTTATTTATTAATTTGCTCCTTCTAGTATTCATAGCTCCAAGTTCATTTCTTCTAAAATATCTTTGGTTAAGACTGTTTTTTGTACTTTCATTGTTCATTTCAAGGAAACCCGAATACATAATTTTGTGATATCATTTTAATAGAAAAAGCTCATAAAAATCATATAATTAAAAACTTATTTTTCCTCCCTGAGGTTTAATAACATTTTCAAGGTAGATGTTTCGAAGGAAACTTCATCAATGGAATTAGCCACAGATAAAGTTTAAGGAACAGTAATGGGGCTTCTGTATTCTGTTATCAAATAAATTTGTTTTCACAAACCTGCATTTTATTTTTTAGTTAATTCAAAGCAATATGATTGTTTCGTAATATTTAAAATCTAGAATTTACATTTCCTAATATATTTTCTAAATTAATCAACATTCACTCCATGCGTGAATTGACCGTGAATAATACAAATTTAATTTTACGGTTGCAATGAAATCATAATTTACTTAGACTTCGCTACGTGGAAATTTTCTAAGAATACCAATACGACTAACCCTACGAATAATAATAATGTTCCTACAGTACTACAGTATTGAAATGATTTTAAAATTTTAAATTGTTTGCTAACATTGTTAAAATTGTAATGATAATTTATAATTATTTTACTTAAGTAGTTTGATAATGAACTCAGTCTTTGTTAACTTGACGAAAAGAGATTCGTGACTGTGATGTATTGTGGGTAGCCTGTATTGTAAATCTCCGTTGCATTGTATTCAGTTCTTCTACATTGTGATTCAGTGGGACCTCGGTAGTCAGTGTCGCCTCCATGTTCATGATGTATAATATGATTGGTTACGCCCGTTCATTGCAGATGCACTCCCGCGACACCGCGGGTCGAACCTTTTGATTAGGCACGCGCAGCTGGCCCCTTTCCCACGACGGTCCCGACTGTGAAGTCGAAGATCGTAACTATCCCCCACGTTCCCATGTTGATAGCCTCCAGGCTCTCTCCCTAAAAGGATGGGACAGCTCCCATGAAAATGCACTGCAAGAGCAGCGACTTGTCGTGCACGGTAGCTGGCCCACGTCAAGGCGACAGGTATTTGTTTCACCGTTATCGCAAGTGCGTACCATCGGGTTTCCCTAATCCCTTATGGCTTGTAATAAATTGCACATACCCCTTCACGCATCTGGTATCCTAACACTTTTCTGCAAACAGCTGAATAGAAACAATGTTTAACCAATTCTGAAAACAGGTCAACCGAAGAAAGAACGCTCCAAGATAGATTGATAAACGTCAGAACATTCTCGAACATCCAATTCAACAAATAGCAGGACAATCAAGCAATCACGTGACCAGAATACTGCGCTTAAGACATCAGAGAGAAGAGTTCACGGAGGAGATTTGAGCACGGCGAACACTTCGGAAAAAACCGTGGGAGACTTTGATCATAATTTTCAAAGTGGGCTCTTCAGGCACAAATCTTCGGACAGTACTTTGAAAAATTTTGAACACAACCTGCAAAGCAATCACAAGAGTAAAAAATTTTACAGACATTGGTCTCAATATTAAGTGCTGTTGAAGCTGCTACTGAGCATTAAAGGCATCATGACGCGATACTTGTCGCAACAATGCGAAGTGGCGTGTAACTGCCGTACTCTGCGTAAGTGAGGCATTCGTCTTTCAATAATCACGTAAAAACAGTACCTCGAGCCCGACGGTTGCAGCCGATTAATTGGGGTTTGGAGTCGAGGCAGCAACTCAACATGGACACCTGGGACAGCTCATAGCCGCCACTCGCAGCGCCGGGACGCCATCTGATGCTCCCGTTTCCTTGCCAAACTTCGCCAAAGTCGGGCGAGGTAAATACACCAGACCAGTCATTAATACCCCGGCTATTAGTAGTCCCATTAGCTGGACAGGAGACTTCTGCAATGTATACCATCTAATGTAAAAATAATTGTCTTGTATATTGGTTAACTTGTATTAAATTAGCTTGTTCGAATAAATGCACAACCGTCACTTCAACGAGTTGCTTTATAAGAAAATCGTGTTAAATATCATTGATTATAAAATAAATATTGAATTTTTGAATGAATTGAATTTTTTCGACTCTAGCTGTTCACCCTTGAGTTTCACTAAAGCCTGCATCCAACATTACCTGGTTTACCTGGCTCTTGGCGCCCAAAGACCGCGAATGCAAAGACTGAGCTAGAACATGAGTTTTAAAGAACAACTAACGTTACATTTGACGCCCAACGTAATGTGCTGGAACCGTTACTGTTGTATCAAGACCCCCAAATATTGCATTTTTGCAATTTTCGAAAATTCAGGCATTTTAACTAACATGAGACTCGCGCCATTCTCTTAATCGTCCTTTACGCTATCTAACGACAAAGTTTAATAAAAATAATTGGTGCAGATTTTAAGAAAATTTTGAAGGTTTCATTTAAATAAAATTTTCAAAATATCTCTTTGAAACTCATGACGCCTCAAGTTCGTTCAGATCGATCAGAGAATATCAATTTTGGAGAAAATCTGCTGAACGGTTTAGGCGCTAGCGTTGACCACAGACGGCCCTGCAGACGGACATTATCCTGCCAATGAAGTTTTCGGTGTCGATGACCCACCAACATTGATTCTGGTTGTACCACGTGTTAGGTGAAGTAATTTACTCTACACAGGAACATGATTTATCCACTTTCTCGTTACCAGGGCTCAGCAATAAGAGTTTTTCAGGCGAAAATTCGCCCTTTTTCGGTTTACTAGTTCATTGAAGTTCAATTGAAGAGGGAGTAAGTGCGAGGAAGTAAAAACACTACGCTGGGGTCCGTCGTTGACTGCTTCCATTGGTAAGTGACTGTTAATCTGGGTAGATTAACTTAATGAATATTCCAAAGGTCGACTACACTTATTACAGTAGGAACAAGATTTTTACCTAAGTTCAAAAAGTCGGAAGACCAAACCCATAGCATACTCAAAAAACAAACAAAACAACAAACATACAGGAGTGGGCCCCATGAGGACACGAAGCCTCCTTCCACGAAGTGAAGGTAGTGGCGTGGAATTCCCAGCGGAGCGTTCCTCTTTCGGCGCGGCGCGTCTCTCCAGCGCGGCGGATGACGCGTCACGTGACCTCGACCGGGTACTCCCCGCAGACGCCAGCGCCCGCGTTCCGCTATAAAGGCTAGCGGGCGCTCCGACGCTGCGGCACACGCTACGGACACTTCTGCCTAGTGTCCATAGGGTTTACTTCTACCTTTTCTTGTTTTTTATGAAATAACTGTTTCCACACAATATTTAGAGGATCACAAGTATGTTTCGATGTAACCTACAATGTTTTTTGTGAAGCAGCCTTGTCCTTGATATTGCAAGACCATTCACACAAAGGATTCGAAAAAACAAACAAACAAAGCCTCAGGCAGTGGGCACAAGGGCTCTTCGGGGCACGCGGGACGAAGTCCCCTTCCACGAAGTGAAGAGGAAGTGGGTCCCTGCGGGCGATCCTCCGCTGGCCGGTGCGTCTCTCCAGTCGCGTCGCGTCGCGTGGCCGCCGGGGCTACGACGGGCCTCCAGCAGGCGCTCGCCTTCGCGCTATATAAGCTCGCGCAGGTGCTCCGCCGGCGGCACACGCTGCTGCGTTGGACGCTGCGCGGTGACCATGGCCTCGACGCGCTTCTGTTGCTGCTGCTGGTCACGGCTACCAGGCGCAGCAGTGTGCGTGTCCGGGAAAAAGTCACTTTGTCCCTGGACTACTCACCAACGCCCGGGCCATCCAAAATCAATGTAAGTTCATTTACATTTCAAATTTGTTAATACAAGCTTTTACGACTTTTGCCAGACGTCTTGCCTCATGTATATAATTCACGTTAATTTCGACGTTACAGTGTTCTTAACTTTGAACAATAAAATAAAATAATTAGCGCAATGTAATGTTCACATATCACAGATTCGGTACTAGCTGCCTACATGTACTATGAATAGGATAGGAAGTAAATAGAAGTAAATCTGCGAATGGGACACACTGGATATGCGCAGTAAACCCATTAACGCATTCGATAGCTGTTCAGAAAACATAGGGTTGTCGAATAGAAAGTAATATTTATTATGCTACTTATGAATGCATACAAATGTTTCCGTGGTAGCGTTTTCTAAGTAGTTATCACAAAACCCAAAGCAAGTAATCAAACAAGCATAATATATACCACATCGCTAGATATAAATTTACAAAATTTAAAATCCTAACCCTATCATGCTAAAGACGAGAACATAAAAATATAAATAACTAATGTAACATTAATACATTCTAAAAAAATATAATTTATTTAGCGTATCTTTTTTGACATTCTGAGGAAAGTCTCCAGCACAGTATTGGTTCGTTTAGTAATGAGTTTCATTGTTTTCATTATGCTTTCTTACTCGAACTGTAAATGTATTTTTTTTCTGGGGTTGCTTATCATTATTTAATGTTACATTATTTTCTTTACAAGAAGTATAAAAGCAATTAAATTACATGTCAAATCAAATTATTTTAGCAAAAGAGAGTTCCAACTTTAACGTACTGAACTGCTCTTGCACCTGTATCGTGTTACTCTGAAAAAAGGTATTTAAGGCGCGAGATAATATTCATCACACCAAATTCATGGTAAATTTTCAAATAATGTTTTACTCAAATTTTAAAGTAAATAAACTGAGAAGAGCAGAAGAACTTATGCTTACAACATCACATATCGTATATTAATGATAGTTTCAAGTACAACTACAATACTCATTATACCACAGTAAATATTTAATATGAGACTTTTCCATAAAGGGCCTACATAAGAGACAGGTAAACATATAATAATTTATGGATTCTTCAATTAAGTAAAAAGTCACAGATTTTCTAACACTTTGAGTTTCAGCAATCAATTCTTGCAAAATCGAACAATTAAGATTGATCCAAATGAGAGAAGGTCTGTAGGCGGTATGTGCTTCTGAAAGTGTTCATTTGTGGCACTTCCTTAGAACGCTTCCTTCGTTGGTAGCGAGTGAAGTTGCGCGCGCCTTCCGAGTGTGCTGTCAGGGAGTGAAGGGCGTGCTGTGTGCGCAGGCGCGGCTGGAGCACGCCATGGAGAGCGCCGGGTGGAGCTGGACGTGGAGATGGGCACATCGGCGTGCGGCCCTGGCGGCGTGCAGCGGAAGACGCTCGCCCTCACCCTCAACGGTAAGGCTCACGCGGGCACGGGACGCTCCCAGCCACAGATTGGAGGTCTTTCGCCTTTCACTAGACTAGGGTGATAGCGGCTCAGCCCCTCTTCATCGCCCCGCCCCATTTTTGGGTCTATCTCAATCAGCTGGTCAAGCCAGTGGTGCGTAGTGAAGCGCTGCGCCAGGGCACGTCAGTTGGAAGGACCTTTGAATTCGCTGAACCCTCCCCCCCATTCATTTGGTGGATCTATTTCCCAAGAGTTTGTAATATAGCAGCGCATTTCTATTACTATATGTTTTCTCAGTCCTCATGATTAACGTGCAAATATTAATTCTTGCATTAAGCTCGGAAATATTAAAATGATATATTACTGAATTTATTGCATAAAACTCTGCATTTCCAACGGCTGTTAGTCGATCATACGCAATGGAAGACTACTATTTCTTGTTCTCCCCCGCCTTCATGATCTTAGAATGCCGGATTTCTTCTTCTCATTTTTTCTATCCTCTTATTCTTTTACTTTACATTCTTCTTTTCTATCTTTGTTCCTTTTCTTTTACTTCCCTCCTTTTCTTCTTTTATTTCCGTTTTCTCTTCTTCTTTTCTCTTGTCTGTACCTTTTTTGTTTTTGTTCTTCTTCTCCTCCTCCTCTCTTCAACACGAAAACAATCTAGTAAAGTTAGGAGAAAAAAATGTGACAACCTTGAATTCCTTATCAACACGCTATCGAATGAATCGTGAAACGAATTCCTTCACACAAAATTAAGCATAGTTTAAAAAACAATGCGAATAAGAATTGAACCAGAAAAATATCTTTACTTTTCTGCATAAAGTCAGCTTTATAGGGATAGATTTTTATAAAAAAGGGACTGATTAAGACAGCTACTTCTTGGCTATTGCTGACAACATAACTCAGGTTTTGTTCCTGCGACATATTTTCTCAGGGTGTTCGTTTAGTTTCATCAGGAAAATTGTTTTCATTACCATCCCTTTCAATGTCTTCGCGCTGAGAGACTCATTTGTTTCCCGACTTATCAAACTGGTGCTTTCGTAGAGTAGCTCCATGTATAACAGTGTACATATTACAATGTGGCTCTGTTTCTGAATCAACCTCAAGGGTTCTCTGAAAAACTGACCGCTTTTCCACCATACGAAAACCCCATACAAAATCGGCCACGTACCGCGCGCTAAATATTCCACATTATTCTTGTACTCTTCAATTTGCATTCGAAACTTCAGAGGTTCGGTTTGACTCCCTTTTGCAGTGTTCGCTCATTCGTCGTCGTCGGTCCGTGACGCTTTAAATGTTCCACTTCAACGTTGCCTCTGCCTTCAGATCTCCTACAATTAGAGTGGAGATAGTGGTGGATTTTCCAAACATAAAGAAATAGCAATTGCTAAGAAATCGTTCCGCCGCAGCTTCTTGCTGGAGGAGTCCCAAGAGCCGCCAGATTTCGAGGAACCGCCTCCCCTGCAGCTAAAATCATTCGTCACATTTTCGTTTTTTCTCCGACAATTCTCTGTTTTTTCGCGCACATTACATACGTTTGTTTGCACTACGTATATAACTCCGTATATACTTATACGAGAAAGTAAAAAAAGGATTGGACCCAAAAGAAACATTTTTGATGCTCCGATCGTAGTTTGCTGCGTTTTCTCCGAGCAAATCCTCGCGAATGTCGAATAGAACCCCATACAAATCGGCCACGTACCGCGCGCTAAATTATTCCTCATCGGTTGCTCCCTTTCACACTCATACACACACCTTCATGCACTCACTATCACATATGTCGGAGATCAGTCAGGCGCTTAGAACGTGTTCCGACTGGGGCAGGAGACATTTTGAGTGGGAACACTCTAAAGGGAGGACGTGGAGGTCGTTGTCGGATCTCACAACCAGCAGGAGGAATCCTCCACCTACTGATATAAAACGTCCACTTCACTCACGGGTCTAAAGCCCAGGATGATTTTTGTGCGCAGGCTCCCCGCCGGAGGCTAGCGGCACCCTCTCCGGCCCCGCGCAGGCGCCCGCGCAACTACGTGACGCTGCCGGGCCTGGGCCACTTCGCGCGCCGCCGGTGGCGCTGGACTGGTGGCGGCGCGCGACCTCTGCCGCACGGAGCGCGCGCAGCTGGGCGTGCCCGCGTCGCAGCGCGAGGTGGAGGTGGTGCTGGCGCACTTCGCGCTCAACGCGTCGGGCGCCACGCACCTCGAGTACGTGTGGCACGGCACGCAACGACTTCGCGCAGGAGGGCAAGTGGGTCACGGACGACGGTGAGTCCCGCCCAGGCAAATGAATGCAGGCGTGGTTTCACTTTAGTACTCTAAACGTACAATATTACGGACAAGAATTGACTACATCCACAGTACAACAGCTCTAGAGGTTACATACAATACGTTTCTAAGAGGGATCAGTAGGAAATCACTCCCGCATTACAATAAAATATTTCTATTGAAGAATTCGTAAAATGAGTCCTTTGCACTATAAAATTGCTCATACCTGAAAATTGAAAATTGTTTTCATAAAAATATGAAAAGAAACAATTGTGTAATGATGGACACAAAATAATCAGTTTTTAAGATAACCCTGACACAGCTCAAAAACACCGATGCAAGTGTTTTTGTATCGAGGAAAAATATTAATATTAATTAATTAATAAATAAAATTAATTAATATATTTAATTAGTTGATTAATTATTTTCTTTCAAAAATTGCGTAAAATATCTATTTGTTAGATTATATATCTTGTCATGTACTTACAGTGCGTACAATTAGCAATTTATCATCAAGTTTCATAAATAATTGATTGAAAAATATTTTATAAATAGCGATTTCAAATGACTATTAATTCGAGATATTTTTATTTCACACATAATTTTACATAATTTAATAATTTGAAGGCAAATTTCAAAAATAACAGTTTCTTTGCATCATATATTCTTAACTTTATTTAACTCTCTACATATTATTTTCTTTTTCGCCTTTTCAGACGTACTTTTGGAGAACACAGGTTTCTCGAAATTTCATTCTGGACAACCCGACGGAGGAAACGGAGAGAACTGCCTTGTGCTGGTGAAAAGTAGCAAACAACTAGCTGATGCTCCTTGTTCATGGAAACTTCCATACATCTGCAAAGCCAATCTTTAACGTAATTGCCATCATTAAGCATCAATTTCCCGCGGCTGTGAACCAGATATTATCTTAAAACTTATTTTGTTTTAAAATTAATTCATAGTTCAACAACACTGTTTCATCATCTGTTTTTAATTAAAACCCCTGTGCCTCTGATGGGTAATACATGATAAGAGAAGAACGTTCATTGAAAAGTTGGGAATGCACAATGGAAAATATTCTGCCCTGAATCAAATTTTACCTGATCAAATGCTCAATTATAGTGGAGGATAATTTGCAAGCGGTTCATGAGCAGACGTTTTAAGTTGATATATTTTTTTAGTGCAAATAAATTTCATGCAATGACTGGTATTCATCCGCGAGCCACTTCATTACCAAACATCATGCTTTAATAACGGCATTTAAAGGTTGCTGATAAGTGTGCATGTTACTTATTTTAGATTATCTTACATGGCGTACATCAAAAAGACGGCTAACTGATTTACTTCTACTCGAAATGATAAGTAAATTTTATTTGACGTTTCCAGCATAGTGAAAAATCAAACAATGCGTTTCTTTTATTTATTATAAAGTCAAAAAATAGTTCACAATGGTTCTTATTTCTCCAGTAATATTGAGCAAATAGTGCTTTTTAAGGGCAAAAATTCCCGTGAACGAAAGAAAATAAAACGAAACAAAATGTATTCTCAACATCCAGTCTTGAATCTACTGCTGAAAAGGAACTTGTATGTGTCAACCATGTGATAATTCCATGAAAACTTACCTTTTTTAATAAATTTATATAATTTTTACTTTTATTTTATGTGTTTTCTTTCATTTTCCTAATGGCTGTTGATATGTGAAATCATCTTGAAACTTATCCTGTATTTACCCTTGTGAGTTTCTTAATATATATTTATTAGTGAACGGATGAACATAGTTCAGTATTATTTACACAACATCATATATATTTTCTGATTTAATTGTAACGTTTCTTCACGGTGAATTAAAACACACACACACGATATACTTTAACAAAGATGTTTATTTTGTTAACAATGCTACACTTAAATATTTGGTTTATTTACAGATATATTACACAATCTTTGTGTTCTTCACTTGACTATTTTTCTTAACAGGACTCCATTCTCTTGATTATTTTTTTACACAGTTCACTTCTTCTGATTATTTATTTACACTGTTCTCTGCAATCTACACTATCGCACAGTCCTATAAGCTGTCCAAGGTCCACTGTGCTGACCACCATTCATCACACAGATCACAATTCACTGCGCAGACCAGGGTCCACTGCACCACTTCACCGCAATGCACACTTTACAGCTCAGCTTCCACTTCAGACACACTGACGGGCTGACTGATTACTACTTGACTGATTATATACACCAACTGACTCGCGGCTGCTTACTTCCGACTTCTCTAGCGGCCGCCGGCAGCGGCGAATTTATATGGCCGGCGCTTGTCTCGACACACCTTGTCAAAAGCTTTCGAAATGTCTGAAAATATAACTATTGTATGGAGTTTGTTTTTGAAATGTAGTGTGTATGTGCTTCGTGATTCTTAATAATTGATGAGAAGAACTTTATTAGTGAAGCCAAACTGGTGCATTGGGATTGTTTTAGTTTTGTTCAGATGGGAAAGTAGACTTTTAATTTTACTACGATTTTTGAGAGAGTGGGAAAAAGGCTTATAGGTCTGTAGTTGTCAGTGCTGGTGAGATTCTCAAATGGCTTGGGGATGGGTATTACATTTAATTTTTTCCCAATAACGGGGAAGAAGCCAGTTCTAATTATTTATTGGTTACGTATGCTATTTGGGGATTAGGTAAGTTTTTCAAGATTCTGTTACTTATTTTGTCGTGTCCAGGGTTTTTTTAAAGGCAAAT